AGGGGGTTTATACACATCATGTCTAGCCAAATTTTCATGCACCTGCTTAACAATATTTCACACAAAACTACCATTTCAATAACCATGTTAGTCATTTAGACCCACTCAAAGTTTTATTTTCATTTCAAAGAGATGAAATAATCAATCATGGATTATAAAATTCACTCACGATGCGTTTCTTGATCAATGCCTTAGAGAAAGCTTTGTTAAATGAATTCACAAGGGAGCCAATTGCCAAATACTAATTCAAAGTGAAATTGCTAAAATGCCAAACAAATGGGAATAGCTTGATAATTTTATTTTATCACATCAACTAGTCCCATGTATGTAGCATCTAACGTCAGTGAAACATTTATATTTTATTTATTTATATCAAATGGCAGGCGTCTTGACGGTTATCATTAGCCCTTTAGTTGACTTCAGGCTTCACAGAGGGGAAGGAACATCAAATTGAAAAAAGTCGAGAGGGGGGGACAGAAGAGTGTTTCAAAGATGTAAAAGAGACAGAGACACAAGGGTAGAAAAAAGGTGAGGTGAGTACTGTGGAAATAGTCGAATATGGCATCGAGTGAGGTGATGGTAGTTTGAAGTGAGAAGTCAACTGCCAGTCAATAGACTTTTTTGCCGTATGAAAGTGAAACATGGGAAATTATAAATTGAATAAAATTGTAAACGGAACTACCTTTGACAATTATATTTCTTATTTAATGACAAGGCTTAATTATTACATACTTAGAAGTCAAACTATTTTCTATATTACTTAATTTGAAGCTAATCTAATTCCATTGATTGAATCGCCATTTACCTTATGACTGATATTCAACAAAATTAATCTGTAAATATGAACAGCCATAACCTAATTTTGGAACAGAGAACTGAATTTATTTTACTATTATTATATTTTAACCAATGGATATGACCTCATTTTAGAAATATTTGACGACTTGAATAGGTTTATAAAATGAAAGCAGGATTATATGGATTTAACAAAATCCTATTTCTCTTGATGGATTATTTTAAAATATCGAACTCTATGTGCCTTATTTAGAATCTATAGTATCATTAAGTAATCATAATGAGTTTCAATAAGTTTAAATAGGAAGTAATATAATTGCATCACTTAAGCATAAATTATATATATTTGTAATATATCCAACCTTCATGCATTTCATGATTTAATGGCATTATTAACATCAGCTGCTATATAAATACACAATGAGTTTTTTTTCTAAGATTAATGAGGCAAAAAGCGGATCATGATGGCAATAATTGCTTAGACTTACAAATTACTTAAGATAAGTAACGAAATAATGACTATATAAGATTACTTGGTTAAAAATAAATTACAACATATTAACATCAAAAGAGGATTCTAGAAATTTTTATGAATCTTTATTGTAAAAAGGGTTCTTTTTTGAAAAGCAATTATTACCTTTCCAGCAAAAACGCTTGATTATTCAGAGTCAAGCAGCTTCAAAGTGAAAGGCTTCTTTCTCGCCACTTAAATTAAAAATAAATTCATAAACTAAACTATTGAATTAAATATTATTTATATATTAACAAAAACTGTACTTTTTACCTTGAATGAAAGTAAAGAAATTTCTCTAAATTATTCGTCAGTATTCAATAAATGGCTATTTAATTTATTAAATATTTATTGTGTACAGACTTTTAAATAACAAACGAGGCCATTTTACATAATTGGAGGGAATTTGGATAACCAAGGTCTAACTGAAATTGCCACAAATATATATCTATGTCCGACGCTGAAAAATTAGTCGAAGCTGGTGTAAGTGTTTTTCTCTTAATTTTATCTTTTGACAAAATTTAACTCGTTGTGCTTGATAATCAAATTCCAATTAATTTCGACTATTGACTGAATTTATTAGTTGAATGGGAAACCGCTCGTCAATTGTATAACTTGCTCTGAGGTTTGAATTTATTTGTTTTCGCTTTAAGCTAAAATACAACGATGAACCCCTTATTCTCCGTCCCAAAGTTGGTGGAGACATATTGGGGTCCCGTGAAACCGGGCGTACATGTTGGCCACGCAGTTTTATCTTGCGTCTAATGCTTATTTGCGTCCTCCTGGCCACAATCGCCGGCTTTATTCTCATAATATTCACACTTCATCATTCTGGAACCTGGCCATGGAATCACTTTAATCGACGCTACGCATCAGCGATGGGCTCCTGTCGTGTACTTACGCCATTTCCTGGAATAGGAATGCAAGAACGTTTCTTATACGAGCCAAATGCAATCACAATCACTCATGGATCGGTGGCTGGATTTCCCCCTGTGACAAGCTTTCATCTTCTGAAAGAAGCCATGAGTGTCATGCGTACTCACGGAATCTGCTATGTCTATCCTCTCGACTCAGACATCGCTGAGGCTGTTCCAATGGATGATTCTGTTGTTGAACGCATTAAAGTAATTTTAACCCATTTACCCCTTTTTATCCATACTCGCTTTACATCCATACTTTCTTTTGTTATAGGAAGCTAGCGAGCCTTCAATGACCCAAATCAAATCTCCATTCGGAGTCCGAGTTTTCATGGTTTCTCCAAATTCAAACTATAACGTCAAGATTGAGCATCCAGCAGCTGCTGCTAACTGCTCTAATGTTCCAATCCTCCGTTTAATCGAAATGGTTCTTTCACAAACTGATGACCAACCTGATTTTGTGAGTCTAGCTATATCTGTCTGGTCGGTTTAAAAGCTATTAGAGCCTCTTCAATGGAAATTAAGTATGTTGCCTTCTTGTGGGTCTCGTGACCAAGACATTCGTTACTTTTTGGACAACCGGGAGGGCTTAGTTAGTCACCCCTCCTTCCTCTCTCACCGCTCTTCTTCCCCCCCTTTCACCTCCCGCCCCCTCTCTTCAAATGCTAGATAGTGCTAGGCTTTGGTTGATGTGTGCATGCAGCATGCATTTTGACCAATAGCAGTATGTCGGATTTTTGGTCCTAACTGCCTTTGCCACTGAAAGCGAAAATTCGTTGCCTGTGTACTTCAAAATGGAATGGTTCTGGAGGATACAAATTTATAATTTCCGAGATGATCGATATCTACATTCAACTTTTAAGGCTCGTGTTTTTACCTAATGCGTTTACCTTTGATTTACTTTAAATTAAGTAAGTGTTTATACATTTTTTTTAACAAAGAACACTTTTACCTTGGATTTATTTTATTGGACATTAACAACTAAATTAGTAATTGTTTGACACTGGGAGACTGTTTATTCTTAAAATTGTGGCAGTTAGAAATGGTGCTCTGCCAATTTGGCCCTGTCAAGAATTTGAAATTACATCTGCAGCATTTTTTCGTTATTTTGAAATGGAATATAATACTTTATCTTAATTGGGATGAGTTTAATAATCCATAAAGAAATCTTATTGGATTTTCCTTTAAGATTGAAATGATTAGTACCCGCGACCTTTATAAATGGATAATTAAATTCATGGTTACAATAATTTTAAGATTAATATTAACAAATCAATTATTGTTTACTTATTAGAATTTTCCTTTCTGATTGTGGAAACTCCAGTGAAGCTACCACACTCCTTTTTGTTTAAACAAAAGTTGTATCAACGAATATAAAGCATCGTTTAGTCTTAAAACCAAACTTATTTTTCCATACACACGCATATGCAAATTCCCGGTAGAATTGTCTTTTTGCCATACCAAGTTACAATCCCTATCTCCGCATGCTAATTCTCCGCCTAGATTTTTTTTACCTACGAATTGCTTATTTGGGGAAATTAAATTAGCACAAGGTAAATGTAATTATCCTGATAATTGGCAAAACAAAAGAGACAATTTTCTGCTCCTATTAGCATTTTCCATTCGAAACACTATTTCAGCCGATTGAAATTCATAATAAGCAATTAGAAGGCAGATATTTATCATCCGATGATTCATTCAAGGTTACTTTTTGCTTGAAATTAGCCATTAAACCCAATTTGTCATCTAGAAAGGCATAGGTAGAGTTCGGTCATTACGCACTTATCATGGTATACCTCAATTGGAATTGAGCCTATGATCTCTGACTTGTGATACATTGGAGACTTTATGAGAATTTTCAGTAACTAAGGCGTTAATATTATTGTTTATTGCCCATGGTAATTTGGAAATTTGGGCATATTTTGTTCATACGAAAACAATTGAATTAGATGAATGGCAAAGGAATCCACTAAAGAGGTAATCTATTTGGGAGCATTAAGAGTCGTACTTCGTTTACTAGGCTGACCAAATGTGAGATGTTTTGACTCTCAAATTCACGGGTGGAGTTTGTGTCCAAAATATAGATGCTTCCGTATGTGTCTAGCTCACGGGTATTGTGCAATCGGAATGACTCATCCTGTATGGTAAGAGTCAAGCTTCAATCCCAAATGTGGAAATGCTGCAAGACTGCGTTTTAGCTTTTAACCCCTTGGGTGCTCATTCAGATGACCGGATTTTTGGAAACTCCCGGCATATTGAGCTTTTAAAACAGTGGTTTCTCTTTCGCGATTGCCTGTTCAAACATCTTCAGCTGACGCCAATGAGTTGTCTTGCATCCACCATGATTACCAAATCATTGGATTCCTACGTTCACACTTAAATTAGTAAGAACTCCTCTGGAGAAATGCATCGGTTTATTTTCTGTCTAATCAAGCTGTCAACCATATGTCATTTCTCCAACTTCATATATCGCTTGAGTAAACTGCAGCTTAATAACGGGGATCTGTGCAAGTTATAAAATGTCTTTCTTTTTTGGATCTAAGCTAGTGATTGTGGTCAAATTTGTATATTTTTGGTAGCACAATAGCTAACGAAGACAACTGACCATTTAATTCAGTGCATGTAAATTGATTAGTACTGATCACGCTAACTCTGATCTAGTGGACACGACATTGTTCATTGCGTTAACGGCCCGATGGGTCTTAATTTCAGTTTTAGTGAGTGGTAAGATTGAATCAATCTTATATAAGCTAGGCTTATAAAGCTCTCTACAATTTCAACTTAATTGAATTTAAATGACAATTGCTGTTAGGTCCAGAGCACAGAATCGACTGCCTTCCCTTCCATACCTTGCCCGAATGAGTGCACCTGGGGTGGAAGTCGTGCTGACCCTCTGCGTCAGGTGTGCCGTTGTCCTCCTAAAGACAATCCGCCTTCAATTCGCCTTTTCCCGTCCCTTCAACAAAAAGAGCCCGAACCTGAGCCTGAAACGAAAGACGACAATGGTGGTGTGATACAGGCCTACCCCCCACTCCCCTCTCCATCCAATGATAACCAATTTCAAGTAGATGATAATGAGGAAGCAGTTGTATTTCCCGATAGTAATGAACCAGCTAATCTTGATACGGAGACCTCAGAGAAGGATAAATTTGACATGGCTGATGTGAGTGATGAAGACGACGAGGAGGAGGAGGAGGAGGAGGAGGAGGAAGAGATTGATAATGATCAGGATGATCTCGATGATGAATTCGGTAAGTAATTACTTCATGTTAGTAATAACTGTGCATGCGTGACGACAGTCTTAAATTTAAGAGTTTGCGCCTATAGAAAATGATTTATTTTGGTAATATCTGTAGGAAGTATAGTAAAAAAAAACCGGAATTCATTATATTTGTAAATTGCTTTTTTTACTGAAAGTTTGCGTTTGCAAATTCTTCCTTGAAGCCCTTTTAAACCAAATTTCACTGCTTGATAGTTTGATTTGATTGGTTCCACCTTAATCTGCTTAATTTGCATGTTCTTTGTTATAAGCACTATTAATAGTTGTGGCCACATCTTTTACTTAAAGGGGGAGGGGAATTCGGCTATTTAATGTTTTCATAGTCAAATTTGATGTTCACTCTAAGTTTATCAAGGGATATGTATTCTCCCAATTAATAGGTTGGATAAAAAAGTTGTCGACTTCTTTAGTCATTACGTGGAAATCGTTTGCTCGCAGTTAATGCTCTCTTATGCTTCCTTATTAATGTCTTATGAGGACTCATGCCTAGTTTAATGACGATTATTTTACTCTTCAACGTTTCTTTAGTTTATGATTTAATATTTATTTATGTATATCAAATAGCAGGCTTTATGATAGTTTTCATTAGCCCTTTAGTTGGCTTCGAGCTTCATAGTGGGGAGGAGGAACATCATCGTCAAAAAAGTGTCGAGGAGGGGGGGGGGGGACAGAAGAGTGATTTGCAGATGTATAAAAGATAGACACAATGATAAAGAATGAGGTAAGCTAAGGTGAGTACTGTGTAAGTTGTGGAATATCACATACAGTATGGTCATGGTAGTTTGAAGTAAGAAGTCAACTGCCGGTTCATAGACTTTTTTGGTGTATGAGTTTGCGTTTCTCAGGGTGCACTATGTGGAGGTAAGTCTATCGCGCACCCCGAGATTTAATATTTGTGTGATTTTTTTTATGCCTCTCAGTTGGTAACTACTTCAGAAGCAATCGCTCAGACACCCAGAAATCGAATAATCTTATTTATAAGGAGAATTGTTTGTCTTACTGGTTAACGATTATTACAGTGCTATTGTTTGTATCCAATAGTCGGTAATCTAGGTTGATGCGATTAATTGCATCGACTTACTCCAACCCACAACTCAGCAATACGGTAATTTCTGTGGCGACTAATAGTCAATACGTAGCTTCCTTCTGACCAATAAGAGCGCAAAGTATTAACCAATAGCAAGGCTGTAGAGGTGATGTTTATACTTAGAGAGCCAATACACTCATGGTAATGTGGTGCATGTGTACGCGTCCTGGCGTATGACCCCATTTGTCCACTCACACATAGTCTCACATGCTGGCCTGAGTCATACGATTCATAAATGCAAATTAAAGTGCAAGTTGTGTGTGAAAATAGGGTTTTGCTAGGGGAAAAGGCGCTTAATGCCGAGGAATGTAAGTGTCCGAAGGCAACTTGTGGGAGAGGCGTGGGAAAAAGAGGGCAGCAGAAGTCCCATGCGCTTCGTATGTCCTTTGCACCTCTCATAGCATTTGAAGAACCTATTTTCATTGTTTGCGTGGGTGCATAATCCAGAAATTCTTATTTCCAGACTACATTATTAACTTAGATCCTGTTGTGCTTCATCGTGTCGGTTTCTGTAATACCGCTTTTAAGTCGAGAATTACAACGATCAACGTTCCTCCCCCACAAATGAGGTCATTCATGAGCATCTGTATAGCAAACAAAAATAATGGAGTTGTTAGTGGTTGATGATAGAATCTGGAAGATTTAGTCTTATCTCTATGATGTAGAGACCTTTCTTTTCAGCACTTCCATACTTCGTAGAAAGATGTTCCATTTAAAAGTCAGGCAATTAATCTTAAACAAATAACTAATTTCAAGAAAATATGCAATCATTACGTTATAAGTTCATAGTATGTTTCATTAGAAGCCGTTACTTTCTGTCTATGTCTATCTTATCCACGTTTTGGTTATTTTAATCTTTCATTTTGTGTCTTAGATATATTTATTTATTTCAAATGCCAGGGGTTTTGATAGCTATCATTAGCCATTTAGCTGACTTCGGGCTTCACAGAAGGAAGAATAATCAAAGTAGCAGGAAGTCGAGGGGTGGGGAACCGAAGAGCGATTCACAGATGCATAAGAGACAGACAGACACAAAGGTTGAGAAAAAGGTAAGGTGAGTACTGCGGAGTGGTGGAACATGACATAGAGTGGGGTCATGGTAGTTTGAAGTGAGATGTAAACTGCCGGTTGATAGACCTTTTTGCCGTATGAGTATACGTTGCCCA